AAATTAAAAGCATTTATCAGCAGCAGACCTGCTCTAGAAGAAATTCTTCAGGCTAAAGGGGAACGATCCCAGAGGAAAATTTGGAACTTCAGGAATTAAGGAAGAACCACAGATGATACAAATGATAAATATACGAGTATATAGATTTTTCTTAAATTCTTAAAAATATGTATGACTAATGAAATCAAAGACTAACATTGTTGAGGTGTTTCAAAATACGTAAATGTAATACATATGACAAATAATAGTGTAAAGGGAGGAAAGAATCTTACATGGTTGCAAGGCTTCTACATTTCTCTTGAAGTGGTAAATATTAAACTTAAAGACTGTAAAAGTTAAGGTATATGGAATGTAAACCCTAAAGAACAAAAAAAATTTTTAAGCCAATATATAAATTAAAATGGAATACTAAAAACATTCAAAAAATTTAAAAAAAACTCAAAACAGAGAAAGAGAGGAACAAAAAAGCAGAGACTACAAACAGAAAATAATAAAATGGTAGACAAATCCAATCATTTCAATAATTACATTAAATATAAATGGTCTAAATATACTAATTAAAAGACATCATCATGTCAGATTGAATAAAAATACAATTATTGTACACACTGGCTATAAGAAATTCACTTTAAATATGACATAGACATATTAAAAGTAAAAGCTGAAAAAGTCATATAATGCAGATACTAATCAAAAGAAAGCTGAAGATGACACATTATTATCAAAGTAGACTTCAGAACAAAAAACTTTCTAGGTACGAAGAAAGACATTACATAATGATAAAATGTCAATTCACCAAAAAGACATAATAATCCTAAATGTGTTGTACCTAGCAACAAAGCTCCAAAATGTATGAAGTAAAAAACTGGTAAAAACCTTGAAAGAAAATAGACAAATTCACAATCATAGTAGAAGATAGTAACACTCCTTTATCAAGAATGTTCCTCAATAAAACAAGAAGACAAAAATCAACAACAATACAGAAGACCTTAACACTAACAACCAACTTGATGTCATTGACATTCATTGAATAATCCACTTAAAAAGAACAGAATACATTTTCTTTTCAAGTACACATATATCATATACCAAGATCAACCATAGTCTGAAGTCAAATAACAAATTTTAGCAAACTGAAAAGAAAGAATATCATACAAAATATATTCTCAGATTGTGCCAGAAATGAACTAAAAATCAATGACAGAAAGTTATCTGAAAAGTTCTCAAATATTTGGAACTTAAGCATCAGAATTCTAGATAACCCATGCATCAGTGATAAAATAACAGGAAAATTATAAATTATTTTAATCTGAATAAAACTTAAAATCCAACATATCAAAACTTGTGGGATGCAGGTAGAGCAGTGATTAGAAGAAAATTTAGAGGATTAAATATTTACATAGTAGAAAACAAGTCTTCAAGCCAATAATCTAAGCTTACAAATAGAAAATCACAAATTAAATATAAAATGAGCAGATAAAAGATAAAAATAAAGGGCAGAAGTCAATGAAATGGAAAATAGAAAAGCAATAGAGAAAAATCATTGAACTCAAAAGCTGATTCTTTGGAAGAATCAGTATGATTGATGAAACTATTGTCAGAATGACCAAGATAAAAAAAGAGAAGACACAAATCACCAGTATCATAAATAAAAGAGGGATGTCACAAAAGGCCCTACGGACATTAAAAAGATAATATGGAAAAACAACCAACAACGTCATACATATAATTTCAATAACTTAGATGAAATAGATCAGTTCCTTTAAAGACACAAATTGCTAAAGTTCACTCAAAAATAAACAGATACCCTGAATAGCCACCCTATATTTATTAAAGTAATTTTGCTTTTAAAAGCTTTCTATAGGTCGAGCGAGGTGGCTCATGCCTGTGATCCCAGCACTCTGGGAGGTTGAGGTGGGCAGATAGATTACCTGAGGTCAGGAGTTTGAGACCAGGCTGGCCAACATGTCAAAACCCTGTCTCTACTAAAAATACAAAAATTAGCTAGGTGTAGTGGCACATGCCTGTAATCCCAGCTACTCAAGAGGCTGAGGTAGGAGAATTGCTGGAACCCAGGAGGCGGAGGTTGCAGTGAACCGAGATCACACCACTGCACTCCAGTCTGGGAGACAGACAGAGACTCCACCTTAAAAAAAAAAAAAAAAAAATTCTACAAAGAAAACTCTAGGTGAGAGGATTTCACTGGCTAATGCTACCAGAAATTTAAGGAAAACAATACCAATTCAACAGAAAATAGAAGAGAATGCTTCCCAACTCATTAGACCAACGTTTTTCTGATAAAGCAGAAAAAAACATTACAAGAAAGGAAAACTACAGACCCTCATGAGTAGAAATGAAAAACTCTTCAACAAGATACTAGCAAATTGAATCCAGCAATATTGAAAAAGAATAATACATTATGATCAAGTGGAGTTTATCCCAGGAATGCAAGACTGGTTCAGCATTTGAAATCAGTGTAATTCACCATATTAACAAAACAGTCTAGAAAGAGACCCACACAAATACAGCCCATTGGTTTTTTACAAAGATACAAAGACAATTTAATGGAGAAATTGATCTTTAAAAAAAAAACTGTTGGAACAATTGACTATCCATATGTAAAACAAACAAACTTTAGTTCATACATTATACCTTATATAAAAATTAACTCAAAATGGATTATAGACCTAAATATAAAACATAAACTATAATAAGCTTTTAGAAGAAAACTTAGGAGAAATTTTTGTTACATTGAGTTAGGCCAGGGATTCTCAATCTTGGCACTACTGACATTTTGGACTTCATAATGATTTGTTATGTAGAACTGTTTTGTGCATTGCTGGATGTTTACCAGCATCTCTGGGCTCAACTCACTAGATGGCAGTAGCACCCACTTTCTAGTCCTGTTAATAAAAAATATCTCCAAACATTGTCAAATGTCCCCTGGGGGGCAAACTCATCTCTGGCTGAGATTCACTGGGTAAAACAAAGGGCTTTTAGACATGATAACAAATCACAGTTCAGAAAAAGGAAAAAACCTACATCAATTAGACTTCATCCAAATACATTTTACTCTGCAAACACACTGTTAAGAGAATAAAAAATTATGCCACAGGTGGAAGAAAACATTTCAAGTCACATATCTGATGAAGGACTTATACCCAGAATAAAGAACTCCCAAAACTCACAATAAAAAAACAATCCAACTTTGAAATGGGCAAAAGATTTGGATACTTCAACACAGAAAATATATTAATGGTAAACAAGCCATGAAAAGATGCTTAACAACTTTAGTTATTAGGGAAATGCAAATTAAAATGATAATGGGATATCACTACTTGTCTATTGAATGGCAAAAAAACAAAAACAACAGAAACCAAACCCTGACAATACCAAATGCTAACAAAGATATGGAGCAACTGGAACGCTCCTACACTGTTGGTGGGCATGTGTAATGGTACAGCTACTTGGGAAGACAGCTGCCAGTTTCTTACAAAGTTAAACACGCATTTACTATAAAACCAGGCAATCCAGCTCTTAAGTATTTACCCAAGTGAAATGAAGACTTATGCTCACATGTATGCCTGCTCATGAGGATTTACAGGAGTTTTATCATAATCAGAAAAAGCTGAAAACAATCCAAATGTCTTTCAGTGGGTAAATGGATAAACAAATTTTGCCCATTCATGCCATGTATTATATACAGAAAAAAATTAACATTAGGAGAATCGCTTGAAGCCAGGAGTCAGAGGTTGCAGTGAGCTGATATCATACTACTGCACTCCACCCTGGGTGACAAAGCGAGATCCTGTCTCAAAAAATAAAAAAATAAAGATAAATCCAGTGATGTCACTTCTTTATGGAATGGCCTCTATAACACTATCAAGGCTACATGACCAAATTCCTGACTACATCTCAGTCCTCAATTCACATCGTTGTCCCCTTCTCCACCACACTCCAGCCTCACTGGCCTTCTTACTGTCCCGCACATACCACCTCATTCCTGTCTCAGTGCCTTTGGACTTGCTGTGCCCTCTGCCTGGTGTTCCCTCCCCATGTCTGTTCCTGGCCACCTGTTTCTCATCCTTTGCACCTCCGTTTCAATTTCATCTCCTCAGAAACGCCTTCCCTCACCCTCTACCATAGCCCATCCCACCCCACTTTCCAGTCACTTTCTATCCCAGATGCCAGGCAACATTTTCTATAAGAGAGACAGATAGTAAATACTCAAGGCTTTGCAGGCCAAACCCTCAATGTGCCCACTGTCACGAGGAAGCAGCTAGGGATGATAGGGCAATGAGTGGGTATAGCTGTATTCCCAGAAAACCTTATTTATGGCTACCAACATTTAAATTTTTTTTCTTTTTGAGATGGAGTTTTGCTCTTTTGCCCAGGCTGGAGTACAGTGGTGCAATATTGGCTTACTGCAACCTCTGCCTCCAAGGTTCAAGCCATTCTCTTGCCTCAGCCTCCCAACTAGCTTGGATTACAGGCGCCCACCACCAGACCCGGCTGATTTTTGTATTTTTAGTAGAGATGGGGTTTCACCATATTGGCCAGGCTGGCCTCAAACTCCTGACCTTGTGATCCACCATCCTTGGCTTCCCAAAGTGCTAGGATTATAGGCGTGAGCCACTGTGCCCAGCTGACATTTAAATTTTTATATCATTTTGCCTTTCATGAAATCCTTTGATTTTTTTTCCCTTCAAGCACTTAAAAATATAAAAAGCATTCTTAGCTCACCCACAAAAAATTAACAGCTTGTCCAAATTTGGTCCACAGCCAACCCCTGCCCTAACCTATTATTCCAATTCTTTTCTTCCTAGCCCACATCACTGCCTAAAATTATTTCATTTGTTCATGTGTTTATCTCCTCGCTTTACTTGCCCTTGGAATTTAAGCTCCAAAAGAGAGGGGCTCCATCTGTTGGGTTCACTATCCTGTGCCCACTGCCCATCCCAACACCCGATGCTGCAGAAGACATGAAGTGCCAAGCAAACCTGGATGTTTCCCTGGCTGTTGTGTGGATTCTGGTGATCTTCTTCCGAACTGGGCTCACAGGAGAAGACCCAGGCTCATCCTTCAAAGTCTCTGCAATTAAGGATTCCGGTTGGGTTGACTGAGATCGTAAAAGGCTTTCTCCTGAGTATAAACCTAGGTTGGGGACCCGCTCGGGGTGAGTTCCAGATCTTATGTTGAACCGAACAAATTCTGCCTCCTCTGTTTTGGTGGGATGTTCAATGGTGAACAGACCTGTTAACAGAAGACGCCACTGTCATTTTCCCTTCATGGCCAGGACTCTTCTGCCCCTAGTCCCAGACTGGAAACATCAAAGCATACCTCGGCTCACCCCCATCGCCTCCCCTCCACTCTCACTGGTTCTCAGCACCTCCCCTCTGCTTCCAGTACAGTGCCTCTGTCCCAGGGCAGTCATTCATCAGTGATGCTGCCAAACAGTGGGTTTTAAGAACGTAAGAATGAATAGATCTCCTTTCTACTCATTCTTCAAGACACCTAGCTACAATCTCACTCTCCTCACCCAGGCTGGAGCCTGTTTCTATTCAGTCTGTGTCCTCCCCATTGCCTAATGTAGAGGCTAGCTACACAATGCATTCCTGGTCCACGCTGTTCCTTCCTTGACAATGCTATTCCCTGTGTCTCCAGCTGTAAGTTGATTCCATCTACTTTCTTTTTCTTTGTTGTATTATATTTATTGATATTTTTGTCTTGCTTTCTCTACTAGACTGGAAAACTTCTAAGGCCAGAGACCTCTTGTCTCTTCACTCACCAGCATTTCTCGCATGTGGGTGCTGAGCATGCAGAGGTACCCCAAGACAGAATTCCCAGCCACTGGAAATTCCCAGCCGAGGAACAGGACAGGGGACATAGTCACAATGCTAAGTAGTAAGAGGTATAACTAGAACATGTATAAAGTGCTATGGGATCCTTTCTTTCACTTGTGTGGGAAAAAAAAAGAAAAAATAAATAATTAAGTGCTATGGGAGCCCAAAGGAGGTGTGACCCATTCTGCTAGGGAAGTCAAGGAAGGCTTCCCAGAGGAGGGGTCAATTGAAGTCTCTGGGGACAAGGAGAAACTCCCCAGAGAGGCAGTGGAGAAAGCACGGCCCCTCCATGCTCAGCCAGGAGGTGGCACAGAATAGCGGTCAATGTCTCCTCATTCCCAGGCCCATCAGCAGTGAGGAGGGGAGCTCAGACATGGAAGGATCTTGAGGCCACCCATGCTGGCCTTGGGGGATCTCTGCAGGAGAGAGCCTGGAGAGGCAACTGCTTTTTCTCTTCTGAGATCCACAAAAAGAAGAAGGGAGCAGGGGCTCCAGATGGATGATGGGTGATCTGTGAGTTGGAGCTGAAAGGTGAATGTAGGTGTGGGGTAGAGACAAAGAGGGACACAGTTAGCCACTGAGAGACCCAGAAAAATAAGATAATCACATGGGGACACGCATGGGGAGAGAGCTCAGGAATGCCAGTGGGCCCAGGTCACTATTCTTAGCTGTGTGTCCTTAAGTGACCTGAGCCCAACGATCCCACCTAAAATGGGGAAATTTCTCTACCTTGCCTACTTCCCTGGAGATGGAATGAGTGGTTCTTGAAGAAAGGTCTGTCCCTTGAGATGGCCTATCAGAGTCAAAGGACTGGGGAAGCCAGCAGATAGGCCTTCGCCCACCTTTTAGCTTCCTTACCTGCGGCCAGCAAGATAGAATTAATGAACTGAGCCGCTGTCTTCTGAAACCGCTTCTTGATCTCAGCCAGGGCTCGGCTCATCTTATACACCTTGTCGTCCATGTTGCTAATCTTGTGGTTCAGCTGGAGAGAGGCAAAGCGGGAGGGCAGGTGTCACTGGCCCCTCAAGGAGCCAGCTGCCTAGCCCAGGATAACTAAGACTTGCTCTGGTTCGGAGGATGTGCTATTACCCCCCCATCCCTACCTGGAACACACCTCTCTCCCTCTCAGCCCAGTGAGTTCTTGCACATGGGCCCAGGCCTGACTCACGGCCCCTCCTTGGAGAGTTTTCCCTGATTCAAGTGGGCAGAACTACTTTTTGCCTTGGACTCTCATCACGCTCAGTGCAGCTTGAAGATGGAAGCTAGCACTTTGCGAAGTGATAGCTGTTTGAGCCTGTCTCCCCACTAGACTGTAAGCTCCTGGAGGGAAGGGACTGAGTCTTGGTCTCCTGTGTGTTTGAGTGTCTGTCATGCAGGTGCTCAGTAAATGCATTCATAAGTGGATGATAAAGCCCTTTGCAGAACCTTCCCTGCCAGCTTCCCTCTGCAGTGGATGCTGCGGTGCATCCCCTAGGAGCCCCTTCATCCCTCCAGCTGCCAGAACAGTGGCTGCTGACAGTGCCCAGCTGAGAACCTGCCTCTGGCCAAGGTTACAGAGGTTGACTGGTCATTGTAGGCCACAAAGGCCCAGGCCTCTTGCTTCCATTCAAGATTATGCTGAAGGATCATTCTGGTTCCAGGGCTCCCTCTGGGATCACTGAGGCCTCTGCCATGGCTGCCCTCTCCCTCTGCCTTCCTTCAGACCCTCAAAGGGGCTATTCCCAAGAGCAGTCCCCAGGAAACTCCTGCATACTTAGCTCCATCCCACAGTCTGTTTCCCAGGAGACCCAACCTAAGACCTGCTCTGAACAACTAGGGCATGTCAGTGGCACTGCAAAACCAGGCCCGGTTTCCAGAGGTAGTTAGTTATATTTGGTCTTTTTCTCTAGTAAGCCTTCCCTGATTTCCTCAGCTCACAGCAATTGCTCCCTCTGCTGAACTTTCACACATGTCCCTTCCTGTCCTTTCTGCTGTGGGTCCTGGTCATTTTTTTTTTCACTTCCTTTGTCCCTAAATTCAGTTAGCTCTTTGAGAGAAAAATCTATCATTTCTGCATCTCCCATGTAACACAGAGAGGATAGGAAAAAAATTCTCTTCTGTGAAATTTAAGCCTCAAGTGGCAAGAGTAGAGTGGGCAGTATCAGATTTCCTCAGGAACAATGAAGTCGGCCCACGAGTCCTTTATGCTACAGGCAGGAAATCTGTAAAGGACGTCCCGACAAATGGCAAAGCCTCAACCATCTTTCTGATTCGTGGCCCCAGTTGCTGCTCCTGTGCTTATTTATTTATTTATTTATTTGAAATTTATACCCAGCCTGCTTCCCAAAAAGACCTGGGGTGGCACACTGGGCTAATAAAGCATTTAAACAGAGGCCATTGTCTCGCTTCCCAAGTGCTGCCTTGATGGAAATATTTAGCAGGAGCCAGGCCTCAGGGCTGTAAAAGCTGGAACGGCCATTCTGCCCGTCTCTCTGACGGGTGGCTCTTTCTGGAACAATGGGTATCTGGGGAAGTCATTTAATAAGCTTCTTAGTGACAGGGACTTGGATGGAGGAGGCGGCTCCCACCCCTACCTCCAGCCTTAAGGGGACTGATAAGTCATCATCAACCCCAAACAAACACTCACAGATGGAACTGAAGGACTGTAAAAGTCCCAGGATGGGAGTGTGTTAAAGCTGGGTGGGCCCTCAGGCATCACTACATAGATGAGGAAACTGAGACCCAGACAGGCAAGGGACTGGCCCAATGCCCTATGGCCTCTTCCTAGCTGTAACTCTCTGCCAGCCCCAATACTTGGCACAGTTTCTTGGAAGCTCCTTGCAGCTCTCAAGGTTCAAGAATCCAAAATAAGCTAATTTTCTTTTCTTTCTCTCTCTTTTTTTTTTTTTTTTTTTGAGATAGAGTCTCGCTCTGTCGCCAGACTGGAGTGCAGTGGTGCGATCTCTGCCCACTGCAATCTCCACCTCCTGGGTTCAAGCGATTCTCCTGCCTCAGCCTCCTGAGTAGCTGGGACTACAGGCGCACAACACCACGCCCAGCTAATTTTTGTATTTTTTAGTAGAGACGGGGTTTCACCATGTTGGCCAGGATGGTCTTCATCTGTTGACCTTGTGATCCGCCCGCCTCGGCCTCCCAAAGTGCTGGGATTACAGGTGTGAGCCACTGTGCCCAGCCAAGATGAGCTAATTTTCATGTAAAATATCCCAAGATGCTTAACCACATGGTTAAGGTCAACATTTAGAAATCCCATTACCCACAAGAAAGCATATTTACTCATTGTTTCTGTTTATCTTGTTAGAAAGTTATCATACGTAGTACACATGCTGACACTCTCAACTAAGAGATGTTATGATCGGAACACTTTTTTGGCAAGTCACTCTTGGTCAACATCTGCTTCTGCTTTCTATAATGCAGCACTGTTTTCGGAATCTGTCTCAGTGTATTGGTCTGTTTATCCCTATGTTACATTTCCTTAAGACAGTTATGCTCTTTGAATTACTGTGTCATTTTAAATAACTTCTCAGTCTTCTACTGCACTATCAAACCATGCCTTGATAAGCTTCCCTTAACAGAGACTCTACCCTCTAGCCCAGCATGATCCACTAGAAAAGTAATGTGAGCTACACGCACAGTTGAAAACATCCTAGTAACCACATTAAAAACATTTTTAAAGGGAAAATTCATTCTATCTATTGATTTAACTCAAAAATAGGGTATGTCAATGTATCATCAAAATAGCCAATTATTAATGAGAAATTTTACATTCTCAATTCCTCCCAAGTCTTTGAAATGCAGTGTGTGTTTCCATGCAGAGCCCATCTCCGTTTGGACTTGTCACATTTCAAGGGCTCAATCGCCGTGTGTGACTCACGGCTACAATACCAGACAGCACAGCTCTAGACTTCTAATGCCAGCTTGAGGAGGTTGCTTTAAGGTACGAAAATAAGACTCGAATTACTGAGGGGCTTTCCTAGGCCTAAGGGGCTTGTTGGGCACACAGACTGAGACTGAGTTCTCTCAGCTACTCATAGGGGTCTTGAATTGCTTGTATCTTGGTTCTCAGCTGCATTCCAGGCTTCAGAGATAACCAAACAAAGAGCTGCCCCAGTTTTATAAGAATGAATAATTTTCTAATATCCATTGTCTTTGATAGAAAAGTAGACTCACATTCTAAAAAAGTTTTCAAGAAACATAGATAGGTGACTTCATACCCAGTGCATACTTAATCACCTAAAAATAACTTTTTCTGGCTGGGTGTAGTGGCTCACACCTGTAATCCCAGCACTTTGGGGAGGCTGAGGTGGGCAAATCACCTGAGATCAGGAGTTTGAGACCAGCCTGGCCAACATGGTGAAACCCTGTCTCCACTAAAAATACAAAAATGAGCTGGGCGTGGTGGCATGGGCCTGTAATCCCAGCTACTTAGGAGGCTAAGGGCACAAAATCACTGGAACCTGGGAGGCGGAGGCTGCCGTCAGCCAAGATTGCACCGCTGCACTCCAGCCTGCACTTGGCAACAGAGCAAGACTTGGTCTCAATCAAATAAAATTAAAAAATAAAACCAATCACTTTTCAGAGTGAGAGCATGGAACCAAATTGACAGGGTACATACATCAATTATCAAGATCATTCATCTCAGCCCAGATAGACTCAAACTCTTGCAGGTAGTTTGCTCTTTGACATAACCCATGCATGCCGGATTCACAGATAACCGCGTTTTTCCAGTGCTTCCTCTCCTCATCCCCTAGCAGATTCCACATGACGCTCTGGTGCACCACAAGTCAAGCTAGATGATAACTGGTACCCATGCTTTTGCCCCTTCCATTAGATTGAGAGTATTTCAGAGTTTAGAGGGAATAAGACTTTATTTCTACCTCTCCAGCAGCCAACTTGGCCTGCTGCAGGTGCTAATAAATGTTTATTGAATTTGTTAATGAGTTAATGAAGGTGAAATGCTGCTGGACTCAAAAGGTAGTGGGAAAAGAAACAGATGCAATGCTTTCCTCCAGGAGTAACAAAGGAGACCCCTAACAAATGCCCACCCCTACGTCCTTATTGGACATTGGGTTGGCTGCCCTTGCTGGGCTCTGCCAGCTTTGAGAGTCTGTAAGCTTGTGGCATACAGTGGCAAATGTCCATACAGCTTAAGAGCTTCTTGCTCAGGACGACCATATAATTTATCATCCAAACCAGGACACATTTGAGGGAAATACAGCATGGTATTTACAATATCATGTAAATATACTTCAGGTGTATAATCGCTCCAGTATAAACTGGAACTGGCTCTGGGCAAACTGGGAAGTGTGATCACCCTGCTTTTGCTCCTAGGAGCCTTCCCTGAGTGGGCAGAGTCCCCTGTGGGGAGCTCAAGTAGTGTGTTCAACCTACCTGAGCTGTGATTACCCCAATCTTATTTCGAGGTCAACTGTTCTCTTTTAGGATATAAACTCAGGGTGCAGGGACTGTGTCTTTTAATCCTCTCCACCTCTCTCCCTGATGTTGACTTGACACCACCAGATACACAGTAGGCTCCCTGATGACCCACTGAATGGAAGAATTGGACTCCCCATCCCCATTGTATTCTCATCCACCCAAAAAATATTTGGTAAAGACTTAATTTGAACTAGTCCTCATGCTGGGCCCTGGGACAATAGACATTAGCGGGAACAACAAGGAATTTAAAATTTGTGGAGAAGAGAGACTTGAAAATAAAGGAGTCTAGAATGAAGGTTGTCACAGCCAGGAGGGATGAGCAGAGGGAAAGACAGACTCTACCTGGGATGGGAAGAGGGTGGTAGAGAGGGTCATTAACAGGCACTGGTAGTTACTCTACTCAGCATCATTTCTTCTCCTGGTAACAGCACCTTGATTTTCCTTTAGGAAACTCTTCTGCCTTATCCTTTACCTGGGTGGTTCATTTGAGGCTAATCTTACACATTGGCCCCCAGGACGGATATCAGCCTCAAGCCTGGCCAGTGGGCGCAACACATATTCCTGGCCACAGGGAATGTTTCAAGCATGGGCAGTTAATAGGGCCAATGAGTGTTGATGTTGGCATTTCTACTGGAGTGTTTAGGAAAGAGAAGCCCTCCTTATTCCAGGAGCACTAAAGCTGGTATAATAATAGCCCAGAGATGTTTATGGTCATCTTGTCATCAACAAGAGAAAAACTCCTTGAGAACGAAGTCAACAAAGAAGAAAGCAGAGCCAAGAGATGGGAAGATCTGGTGGAATCATTTCAGGGCCTGGATCCAGCCATGCCTGAAACTGCATATTGACAGACTTCTCAATTTATTGAGCCACTATATTCTCTTTTCATGCTTAAGCTAGTCTATACTTGATTCTGTCACTTATAACCAGAAGACTCTTAATGGATATACCAAGTTTCACAGACAGCGTTGTGCTAAGAGTAGGCAGTGAATAATGGCAGAGAAAGAGGCAGGGCCTTGCATGGGAGGGTGGTGGGGAGTAAGAGCAAAGGCCCTAAGATGTGAAACAGCAACCCACGTTGTGATGCCCAGGGGTCAGCTCTGGTCTGCCCTGCCTTACCCGTTTTTCATATGCCATTCCATGGGGACAGTTGTTGGCTGACACACTGAGTGTTACTGTGTCATTCAGGGAGGTAAAGGTGACCGTGATGGAGTCCTGTCCCAGCACCTTTAGCTTCATTTGCTCATTCACCTGTAGACAAAGAAACAGTACTCAGAGAATCCCTGCTTCTACGGTCCCACCCACCCTTTCCTGACCCACCACAAAGCACAAAGCCCCTGTTGGCTTGGGGCTGAAGATTTGTAAGAGCTTTCCGGTTCTTGTGTCAGAATTTAGCTTCACAGAGAAGACAGAAAAATTCCAGGCTCCCCTGGGGGATCCGCTGAAAAAGTAACTGATGCTTCCTTATTCCTGCTCCTTTCCTTTCCAAACCAAGCATGAAACCCACTGTGAAAGAGACACAGGTGTCTGGCAGGTGAGTCAGCTTCAGTTCCAGTAAAAATGGACTGAGAATGCAGCTTGAATCAGAGGGTAATCCTTTATCCCTGAATCAGAGAGATGTGCCCACTCAGGCACCAGGTCTGACTACGACTTTTGTCCTACAACAGTGGGAAGGTGAACACATAGCAGGAAGCACCGAAAGCCCTCTGCAGATGGGGGGAATATGTCAAAGAGTACCCAGGAGGGCCTGGCCTACACATACTCAGTCCCTTCCCTTAAAGTCACCAAATATGTCACTACTCTTTTCCTGAGGAGGAGCCAAAGATGGGTGGAAAAAGGGGCAGCTACTCTTTATCGTCATTTCCAAAAGAGTGGGATTTCCTTTAAGCAGTAGCAGACTGCAACTTGGGGAGGGTGAGTTGCCCTTAAAACAATTCACTCCTTACTGAGAGCTCTGTGGTCCATGGGTGAGTCCCAGCTCTGCCTCCTGATAACAAGCCATTTAGCTTCACTAAATCTCAACTTCTTCCACATGAAATCATTGAAAGGCTATTATCAGGATCAAATGAGATAAAAATGGTGGAAGTGGTTTTGTAAGCCATTAAGGCCTATGTCCAGCATGAGCAGATACTGTCAGGACAAGGTAGAGCAACTCACATTTAAGGCTGCTGAACAAACTGCATGTGCAGAGCACAATTTAAACACAGGGACCCTTCCTGAGAGTCTCAGAGTGTACAGCCCTGCACTGCTGGGCTTCTCTTAGTCTTCAATGTCCCTGACCTATAATATCCCCTCACTTACAAATACCTCCAGGATGCCTCTGAACCAAAAGAACAACAAACAAACAAACAAACAAACAAAACACTCTCTGCTTTGCTCCTTCCATTTCCTTCTACTATTCTAGTTGCTTGCCGAGGGATCTACACTTAAATTATTTACTTTGAGTTTCTTTCTTATATCCTGCAGTCTGAAGACTGGTTCCCTCTAGCACCCTGAAAGTACTGAACTATGACTTGCCAAGTCTTTTGACATCTTCAAACTTGATCACTATCTCTTAAATGAAACTTTCCTCTCTCTTGTCCTCCTTCTACAGGATTTGAGCAGGTGTCAAATCCCAGCATTGTCCCTTACCAGCTGGGCAATTTTAGACAAATTGGTTAGCTTCTCTGAGCCCGGGGACAATAACAGTAAAAGGTAAAGTAAAAGTAAAAAGTTTTATCCCATGAAATTTTCTCATTGGATGCTTAGCAAATTTCAGCAGATTTCACAGCTTAGCACAGTGCAGCTTTTATTTATTATCCTTGCTTACTGGATTGTTTCTCTTTATCTCCCCCAACCTCCCAAGTATGGCAGCTCTACAAACCACAGACTTGTCTTCTTGAGAGTTTATTAGCCAGCCCATTATATCTTATCCATTATCCCCAATCTCTCACCCTAATAGGTCAGAGTCCACATCACAGCAGCCCAGAGAGATATGGCCACTGAACCAAATAAGCATGTCTAAAACCATTTTGGTCACTGATCCTCTCAGAAAATTCTGTTTCCACTCAGACACATAATCCATCATGGAGTCATCTACAATTCCCTCCTCCTTTCATGTATAAGGCCATGCCCATGCATCATTGAGTTCTTTTATTGAAATGATCCCTTTAAAAAACATTGCCATCATTTGTAATGATGTTGGGTCTGGCTAGTAACTCCCCAACTGGTCTCTCCACGAGCCCATCCATTGGTCTCTCTCCAGTCAACCAAAAATGCTAGACTGAGCATTTCAGCCCTCAGCTTAAAAATCAACCAGTTGGTTCTACTTCCAGTATAGCTGAGTCAGTGCCTGACAGACTGCCTTCCTCATAGATAACTATAAACTTGAAAAAACAAACAAAAAACAACGACCCAAAGGCTATGAAGAGTGAACAAATGCAGGCAGACTTTGAAGAGGAGTCAAAATATAAAAGAAAGGATCAGCATGGGATAATGCTGTTTTACAGCTTTAGCCTGAAGGCAGGCCAAACTCCACCATCTTTCTGGCCTAAAGAACCCAGAGGACAGAACCTGAAGCAACCACAGTCACAGGAACATGTGGAAAGAATTCCAGAAGGGATAGCACAAGAGAAGGAGAGGCCAGAATTCTATGTATAAACTGTCCATGTCTCTGGCTGATCCTTGAACCATCCATGAGCAGAGGAGACTCAAGACACCTTATGGTTGAAAACAACAACAAACATAAAAACTTGAACTGAGATGTGAACTTCTGCAAGTGATAATCAACAGAGGTCAACTCTGTCTGATAAGACCCAGACATTGAAGTTTTCAGACAAGACCTTTAAAGCACTAATCTAACTACACTAAATTAGGTAAGGGAAAATGTACTTGTAAGAAATTACAAAATATGAAATCTCAGCAGAGAAATAGAGAATATAAAAGTATCTCGCTGAAATTTTATTTTTAATTAATTAATTAATTTATTTTTTTGAGACGGAGTTTCGCTTTTGTTACCCAGGCTGGAGTGCAATGGCGCGATCTCAGCTCACCGCAACCTCCGCCTCCAGGGTTCAGGCAATTCTCCTGCCTCAGCCTCCTGAGTAGCTGGGATTACAGGCACGTGCCACCATGCCCAGCTAAGTTTTTGTATTTTTAGTAGAGATGGGGTTTCACCATGTTGACCGGGATGGTCTCGATCTCTTGACCTCGTGACCCACCCGCCTCGGCCTCCCAAAGTGCTGGGATTACAGGCTTGAGCCACCGCGCCTGGCCTGAAATTTTAAATTGTTACATTATCATAATAGTAGGATGGAGATGACAGAATAAAGTTTTTGAACTTGAAGATCAAGAGAAATTATCCAATCTCAAAAGCAAAGAGAAAACAAATGTGAATAACAACAACATAAGAGAGCTTAGGAACCCTTGGGACAATATCAAAAAGTATAAAATAGATATAATTGGAGTCTCAGAAGAAAAGGAGAAAGATTGGAGTAGTTTTTTTTTTTGTTTTTTTTTTTTTCTAAAGAAGGTTTAGAATATTCCCCAAATTTGGTGAACCAAATTTAAATGAATTTACAGACTCAAGAAGTTCAGTAAATGGAATAAATATGAAGACAACCACACCTAGACACCTCACAGTTAAACTTAGAAAACCAAAGAAAAGAGAAAATCTTGCAAGCAGCTAAAGAAAATAAACAGTAACTTGAATAACTACAGACTTCTTATAAACTATAAGTTTATAAGACAGACATAGTGCAACAACATCTTTAAAATGCTGATAGAAAAAAAAAATCTCAGAATCATATCCAGCAAAAATATCCTTAAATAAAGAGATTTTTTTTTTTTCTTCGTGAAAGAAAACAGAGAATACATTGCCAGAAGATATGCACTTCAAGAAAGCCAAAGGAAGTTCTTCAGGCTGAAGAGAAATGGTACCAGAGGGAAACTTGGATCTTCAGAGAGTAAGGAAGAACACTGGAAATAGCAGCTGGGTAAAAACAAATTGGCCCCTGCAGCCTCCAAGACAGCATACAAACTCCCCAGTCTGACATCCAGGGCCTCCCGCCTCCATCTGACACCATACACACCTCTTGCTCCACCTTTCTTTCACAAGAAGCACTTGTGACCTCTTAAAAATACCACATTTAGTCCCAACTCCGACCTTTGCAGATGCTGCTCCCACTACCCAGAAACTTTTCCCTCTTCCTCCTCTCTATGTGAATCATATACACTCACCCCCATGCTACAACCCCAGGGCCACCTTCTCTTCCAGGCCACTCCTGACTTCACATGCCTCTACTGTGCTTTTCTTCATGCAGCTCCAAGGAATATAACAATGAACTAAAATACATTGGTAAAACACTTTATTGATGTCAAAGCACCTTCCCCTCCATTATTTCATTTCTTCTCATGAAAGTACCGTGAGGCCGGAGGGCAGTTCTAGTGACCCATTTTGTATAGATGACACAACTGAGACTCAGAGAAGCTGAGAGGTTTTCAAAGTTGCACAGCCAAAGTCTGGCGAACCTGGCCCTAGTATTTAGTTCTTCAGATTCTTATCACAGTTCTCTGCTTGGCCACAGTAACAAACAACTTACAATGCCTGCCTTCAGCTGATTTCTAATCTTGGGATTATAAACTTTTCATATAGCTATGAAATGTTAAACATTAAGAAACAACACAATACACCCCTAGACTGGGGATCTCAGACCTGGCCAAGCCTCAAAAATACTGTGAAAACCACAGAAATCCAAAACTCCTAACATACCGACTGAGCTGGGGTTGCTCTGGGGCTGTGACTGGGATCTGTATTTTATAAAAAGTCCCAGAGGTGATTCTCATATGCAGGCAGAGATGAGAACCTGTTCCTGACATTAATTACCAAGTGACTAATGCAAAGTGTTTGCACTGGGGGAAGACAGAAATGGGTGTGGGATGGGATGCCACAAAGGAGGGAGTTTGGGCAGGGCTCTGAAGGAATTTGGAAGGACAGTCGCACTGGCAAAGACAGGAAGTGGTGCATTTCAGGCCAAGGGAGTAGGAAAGGTGAGACATGTTCAAGGAATTGAATATTCCCGAGCAGAGGTGTGGTCTGAGGAATCAGAGCATAAGGAGGAGAGTCAGTGGCCAGTGTAGAGGATGAACTGAGAGGATAAGAGGCCGGAGACTAAGGGTAGGGGCTGGAGGCCTCCCATGCACTCCAAGAGTGCTTGTGTCCACAACCCTAATGGTGGGGCTCTTCATCTGGGGCCTGCTTGAGTAGCTGTTCTGTGATCTTCCTCTGAATTCCAACACTTGCCATTCTCTGGAAGTTCTTATCTGTGTCTGCCCTGTGTTCTTATTACTCTCTTAGACTTTTGAGTTCCTTGATGGGTTTTGTTTCTCCTTCCATCCCCCAATTGGCGATTCTCACCTGGGGGCAGTTTTGCCCTCCAGAGGCTACATTTGGTGATGCCTGAAGATATTTTTGGTTGTCACAACTGGGAAAGGCAATACTACCAGAATCTAGTGGGATGCTAAACTTCCTACAATGCACAGTTATACCAAAGAAGTATCCATCCCAAAATGTCAGTAGTGTCAATGATAAGGAACTCTGTCATAGATAAAGTGACAAGCACACTTAATTGCTTTATTAATAAGTTCATTAATTTATTATTAATAATTCAGCCCTCTTTATTATGTTATTTAATAAATCTTTGGTGAATTATTATCTGAACAGCCAAATGAATGAAAAAAGAGTTTGTATCTATCAGCCACTGTTGACTTCCAGATTGTTTTATTTTATAGATAACGAAGTTACAAATATCAAAACTGGGGAGACCAACATAGAACTGCTAATTTTTATTATTGCTGCATTAAAAATAAAGCTATCAACTACCATAACTGTTACTTCATCAAACACATTTGAACAGAAAAATAGAATGATATTAATATTAAAAATTACACTGGAAGGATAATACCAAGAAATGTCAGTAAAGCAGCCAATAGTTTAGGCTGGTGAAAAGTTCCTTTCAGCCAACCTGGACCACCATCCCCCAACTTGGGAACCTCTGAATGAGATTACAAGCTCCTTCAGGGCAGGATTTCTCTCTTACAGATAGCCCTGGGCTTTTAATGCTAGGCAGTGCATGGCAGGATGCCAAGGCCCTCCCTGTGGCAGTGAGCACCACTGTGCTGTACTGCCCATCCTTACCTTGTATTCCAGGGAAAGCAGGGTCTCCGTCCTGGAAGTCCAGCTCCATTTGTGGACTACATAGCCCTGCTGGTCATTGGTGGTCCCACCTTCCTCATCCAAGACTAAGACATACGGGCAACTAGGAGAGATACAGAAGTGAGTAGCTGCCCTCAGGCCCCTGAAGGAAGCTCTCATCAGTGCAGGCTGTGGCAGGTCTGCAAGGGCAGGCAGGTCTGTAAGACTCAGTCCAGGCTGTAGGAATGGTGGAGTCCTACAGGCAGCCTCACTTTCCCCACCTGCTATGATCTGAGGCTCTTTACCAGCTGTTGATGCTACTGGAGGAGCCAAGTCTGAGAGAGATAATGAAGGCTCAGGTCAAACCCAAGAGGGGAAGAAATGGAATTTGTGCTCTGTTGCCTAGTAGCCTGATTATATAATGGGCACCAAGAAGGGAAATGGAACACCTATAACAGTAAGAGTAACTCATTTCTTCCAAGAACAGTTCCTTATGAAAACCCAGGCAAATCCAGACATGGTGGCTCATGCCTGTAATCCCAGCACTTTGAGGGGCTGAGGCAGGAGGATCGTTTGAGGCTAGGAGTTTGAGATCATCCTGGTCAACACAGCGAAACCTTGTTTCTACAAAAAATTTAAAAACTTATCTAGGCATTATGGCACATGTCTGTAGTCTCAGCTAACCCAGGAGGCTGAGGTGGAAGTATCACTTGAACCCAAGAGTTCGAGGCTACAGTGAGCTATAAGCATGCCACTGCGCTTCAACCTGGGTGACAGAGTGAGAACAAGACCCTGTCTCAAAAAAAAAAAAAGAAAAGCCAGACAGTATCAATCTTTGGCTGGGAATAATCTGCATTTCTTTTAAAAGATGCCACAGAAGTAGTGTGTTCATGCCTCTCCTTCACCCACTCCTGGTATAAAACACTTTTTTCCACTAAATAATTATTCCATTAATATAACTAACAGTCAAGATCTTAGTGCTCTGGGGTACAAAGCGGAATAGGACTTGGGAAGTTGTCCTTATCATTGACTGTGACACACATACAGCAAGAAAGGGCTGAGCCTTAAAGTTCCTATGTCCCTACAGAAATAGCCTCAGCCCTGCCTCACTGCCTTATTAGACCTCTAGATACTGCTTGGCTTCTTCTTTAACTAGGGACTCAGAGTCACCACCTCAGTCCTCCCTCCATCACTCTCAGAGGTACTTCCGTGAAACTAGTATTCTCCCAGTCCACTTACCTGGTTTTTAGGTTGTAGTGAACATAGACCTGACCTTCAGCATTGAATAGGGCCAGCAAGGAGGAGCCAGGTATGTCATTAAAGAGGTAGGTGATGGTTCTCCCTCTGCAGCATGTGGGGATCTGACATATAGCGACATTTCCAGAGGGATAGCTGGCAGAAATGTTCAGGTAGAACTAACAAAAAATTTCCCTGGTTCTGCTCTCAGGTGTCCCATTGAAGCAAGTCCACATGTTAAAGCATTAGCTATTTGGTGCATCATTCTCCATCTTCAAACACCCTCCTTGCATTTTGCATAAGCAACAATTATATGATTATAGAACCCAACGATGCCCTAGCTGCTTTTCTGTATCTTCTTTCTATTTTCTCACAATCCCCTTGTAGCAAGTAGGTAGTATTATCTTCCTCTCACAGGTGAGCAGGGTCCCCGCCGGGTCTAATGGGTTTTCTGATACATGGAACTTTCGGTATAAAACCTAAGAAGTCCTAGGTAAACCAGGATGAGTTGGTCACCCTATAGATGAGGAATCTAAGGTGCAGAAAATTATCTGCCCCATTTCCCATCACAAAGAAGTGGCAGAGCCAGGATTTGATCGTTGAGGCCAGCAGTATTTCTGATGCTGTCAGGCTGCTCCCACTTCTGACCAGTCGAGGAGGACAGGTAGTGTCTCCTTGTTCATTTTCTAGTAAAGAGGGCCCAAGAAGCACTGGTCCTGACTAAGAAAGACATGGTGTGGGCAGCCACTGTCCTGTGTGCCAGAAGTTCACAAGCAGTACCCCAGACAGAGAAGCATTTCAGAATGAAAGCAGAAGAAAAGGAAATAAAGAAAAATGAAGATTCTCAGGGACCTATGGGAGGCCATCAAGCATATCAACGTATATATAATAGGAGTCCCAGAAGGAGAGAAAAATGAAGGTACAAGGAATATTTGAAGAAATGATGGCTGAAAACTCCCCAAATTTGATGATACACATGTTTAAGAAGCTTAACAAATTCCAAGTAGGAAAAATTCAAAAATATTCTCACTGAGACACATTATAATCCAATTGTCAAAAGACAAAGAAGGAATCTTGAAGGCAGCAAGACAAAAAAGACTCCTCATATATAAGAGATCTTCAATAAGATTCATGACTGATTTCTCATGAAAAACCGTGAGGTTTAGAAGGCAGCAATATGAAATATCTAAAGGCCTCAAAGGAAAAAAATAAAACTGTTGGCCAACAATTCTATATCAAGCAAAATTATCCTTCAAAAATGAAGAAATTAAAACACTCCCAGATAAATATTGAGGAAGCTAATCACTAGTAGACCTGCCCTACAAAAAAAAAAAAAAAAAAAAAAAATGCTGAAGGGAATCCTTCAGCCTGAAATGAGAGGACACTAGACAGTGACTCAAACTCAAAGAAAAAAAGAACACTAGTAAAATTAACTATATAAGTAATTATAAAATCCTGTATTCTATTTTCACATATATTTTTTTCTTTTTTTCTTTACGATTTGAAAGATAAATCCATAAAATAATAATTGCAAACCTATATTAATGGGTATACAATATATCTGTGAAATATAATTTCTGATAAAAACATAAAGGGTGACATATAGAACTATATAGGAGCAGAGTTTTATATACTATTGTGTCTAAGTTATTAATTCAAACTAGAGTGTTAATTGTAATACCCAGGTATCTTAGTTTCCTAGGTCTATCATAACAAAGTACTATGGCTAAAAGCAACATAAATTTATAATCGCACAGTTCCAGAGGCTAAACATCCAAGATCAAGGTGTCAATAGGGTTATAGTTTGGAAGGCTCTGGGGAAGAATCCTTCCCTGCCCCTTATAGTTTCTGGTGGTTGCCAGAAATCATTTGGTATTCTTTGGATTGTACATGCATCATTTCAGTCTCTGCTCCAGTCATCACATGGCTTTTTTCTGTGTGTCTGCGTGTATCTGGGTCTCTGTTTTCTTTTCTTATAAGGATACCAATCACTGCAGTAGGGCCCACCCCAACAATATGACTGCATCTTAAAAATTACATCTTCAGAGCCCCTATTTCCAAATGTGGTAATATTCTGAGGTTCCATGTGGATACAAATTTTGGGAGACACCATTCAACTCATTATACCAAGACAACCCTAAGGAAATAACTTAAAAATATGGAGAAAAGGAAATGAGAAGTAAATCAAAATGGCATGCTACAAAAAGTCAGACACAAAAAGAGGAAGTAATGAAGAAATCAAGAAACAAAGATGCTGTAAGACATATAGAAAACAAATTTAAAAATTAAAGAATTAAGTCCTTCTGTATCAGCAATTACTTTAAACAGAAGTAGATTAAACTCTCTAATCAAAAAGTACAGAGCTGAGGCATGAAAATCACCTGAGCCCAGGAGGTGGAGGCTGCAGTAAGCCAAGATCATGCCACTAAACTCCAGCCTGGGAGATAGAGCAAGACTCAGTCTCAAATTAAAAAAAAAAAAAAAAAAAAAAAAAGGCTGGCAGGATGAATTTTTAAAAACCAAAACATGATTCAACATATGCTGTGTCTAAGAGACTCACTTTAGATCTAAAGACACAACTTGGTTGAAAGTGAAATTATGGAAAAAGATATTCTATGCAAATTGTAACCAAAATAGAGTAGGGGTGAATATGCTATGTCATGCAAAATAGATGTTAAGTTAAACATTTTTACAGGTGACGAAGGACATTACATATTGAGAAAAGGGTGAATACCTCAAGAATATGTAACAATTATAGAGATATACACACCTAATAAAAGAGCCTCAAGATACATAAATAAAAAACCTGACAGAATTAAAGGAAGAAATAGTTCTACAAAAATAGTTGGAGACTTCACTACCTCATGTTCAATAATGCATAGAACAACTAGGTAGAAGATCAATAAAGAAATAGAAGCCTTATGCTGTATGCAGTGGCTCATGCCTGTAATCCCAGCACTTTGGGAGACCAAGGCAGTTGGATTACCTGAGGTCAGGAGTTCAAGACCAGCCTGGCCAACATGGTGAAACCCTGTCTCTACTAAAAAATACAAAAAAATTAGCTGCACATGGTGGTGCACACCTGTAATCCCAGCTACTCAGGAGGCTGAGGCAGGAGAATCACTGGAACCCGGGAGGCAGAGGTTGCAGCGGGCCAAGATTGCACCACTGCACTCCAGCCTGGGCGAAAGAGTGAGACTGCAGCTCAAAAAAAAAAAAAAAAAGAAAGAATGAAAGACAGAGAGAAAGAAGGAAGGAAGGAAGGAAGGAAGGAAATAAATAGAGAACTTGAACAACATTACTAACCAACTAGAACTAATAGGAACATACAGAATTCCATCCAACAACAGCAGAACACATATTCTTCTCACATTCACATGGATCATTCTCCAGTACAGACAATATGTTAGGCCACAAAACAGGTCTCAATAAATTTTAAAAGACTGAAACCATAGAAAGTATCTCCTTTGATCACAATGGAATGAAACTAGAAATCACTAACAAAAGAAAATGGGGAAGATTCACAAATACATGAAAATTAAACAACACAAAAACAACAGGTGGATAAAGAAATCACAAGGAAAATTATAAAATACTTTGAAATGAATAAAAACAAAACAGTATATCAAAACTTATCAAAGAAAGGCAAAGCAGCACTCAGAAATTTATAGCTATAAATACAAACATTAAAAGAAAAGAAACCTCTCAAATTAATAACCCAATTTTCTACCTTAAGGGACTAGAAGAGCAAAGTGAAGCAAAGCTAGCAGATGGAAGAAAACAATAAAGATCAGAGTGGAGAAAAACAAAATAGAGAACAGAAAAATAGAACCAACAAAACTAAAAGTGGGGTCTTTGATAAATTGATAAAGCACAAACTTCTAGTAGACAAATTAAAAACAAAAACCAAAAAACGGGGAAAGGCTTAAATTCCTAAAATCAGAAATGAAATTGGGCCTTAAATAAAAAATATCCTAATACAATAATACAAACAACTGTACACCATAAAGTTAGATAAACTAGATGGACAAATTCCTAGAAACACATAAACTACCAGAAGTGATGCAAAAAAAAAAAAAAAAAAGTAAAAAAATCTAAATAGAACTATAGCAAGTAAAGAGATTAAATCATTAATGAAAAACCTCCCAACAAAGAAAAGCCTAGGACCAGACAGACTCACTGGTGAATTCTACCAGACATTTAAAGAATACCAATCCTCCTCAAGCTCTTCCAATAAATAGAAGAGCAGATCTGAACACTTCCCAACTCATTCTATTAGGCCAGGGTTATCTTGATATCAAAGCCAGACAAATACATAAAAAGAAAACTTCCCATATCTCTTATGAACATAAACATAAAATATATTAACAAAATACCAGCAAACCAAATTCAGCAGCATCAAAAGGATTATACACTGTGATCAAGTGGGGTTTATCTCAGGAATGCAAGTATGGTTCAACATACAAAAATCAATATAAGGTACCATAGTAATAGAATGGGGGGAGGGGAATCATGATCATCTTAATTGATGAAGAAAACGCATTTGACAAAATTCAATACCCTTTCATGATTAAAAAGCACTCAACAACTTCAAAATAGAAGGGAACTCCCTTAACATACTAAGAGCCATATATGAAAAAAACTCACAACTAACATCATAGTCAATGGTGAAAGAATGAAAACTTTTCCTCTAAGATAAAGAACAAGACAAGCAGGCCTGCTTTCACCACTCCTATTCAAGATTGTACCGGAAGTTCTGGCCACAGCACTTAGCAACAAGAAGAAATAAAAAGACTCAAAATTGAAAAGGAAGAAGTAAAATTACCTCTGTTTGCAGATGACATGATTTTATATACAGAAAATTCTAAAGAGTCCACACACAAAAATCTAGAACAAATAAATTTAGAAAAGTTACAGATATAAGACCAACATACACAGAAGAGTTGTCTTCAAGAACACAGGATGTCTTTCCATTTATTTAGGTCTTCTTTAAATTAATTTGGCAATGTTTTGTAGTTTTCTGTGTACAAGTTCTGTATCACCTTGTTATTTATTTGTTCTCGGTTATACAGCATTTTGTATTGCTTGTTGCCAGTGCTCACGGGTTGGAAAAATTAGTATTGTTGACTGGTGTGGCTCATCCTATAATCCTAGCA